CACACACACACACACACACACACACACACACACACACACACACACACACACACACACACACACGCACGCACGCACACATCCATCGATATACATAGGCAAATCAATTGAAAGACTATTTTTTTCATTCGTTTTTTTAATTTGCTTGTTTATTAGCGTTATTGGGTTTCTGGGTAAAGATATTTTTTAGAATGCATTTTACTTAGCGTTAAGTGAAACACGAAATGCCCGAACATGATAAATGGGGAGATGAATTATGAATAGCTTGAGAGCGTAAAGGAGGTCACTGAGAGCCGCGCGTCCCACGGGAAGAAAACGGACCTGATATCGACTTCAGTTTATGTGCGTTTGAACTTTTTCAGTTACGTAGTTTTGGGACAGTGAATGAAATTAAAGCGCGCATAAAGGGTATATATAATAGCTGTGACTCAGGAAACTCGTACTATGTAACATTACGTGTTTGCTGCGAGGCCGAGGGGCGTGTGAAAGGCAGCCATGCAGACGGGCTTAATACCTGACGAATTGGTCGATAAGCCGACGCAGTCAGACGGACAGGCATGGGATCGAAACCCCCGTCAGAAGGAATCCCAGACACTCTGAGGATGACGAATCGCATATTTCTCTCTCGGGCGACAGCTATCTTTGGCGTGGCCTCTCTCTCTCCCCCGGAAATTACCAGTTAATAGCAATCACGTTATTAAGGCACATTATAATTAGAGGAAAGATGGCCGCCCCGCCTGTGCCGGGCCTTGGGGCAGCGTGCGAGGCGGCGTGGCGTGTTAGGGAGGGGCAGGGAGGGCGAGGGGGGTGGGGGGGGGCGAGAGAACGCACGTGGCCGCATGAGGAATGGGCCAGCGGTGGGGGTGAGGGGTCGCACGCGGTGCCGGCCACATCCGTCTGGACTCGCAGGTGAACGTCTCAGACACTTGCCTCCCAATTTTGAATATTTGATATCTGTTTCGCTGTTGAGGGAATACACTCCACAGTCGCCCAAACTCCCCCTTGCAACAAAGGCACTCCCCATAGCGCAGTTGTTTGTATCGATTTCCTAGTGCACAGCATGCGAGAACCATATTGTACGGAAGGGGAGGGGACCTGGGAAGAGGTAGGGGATAAAAGTGAGGGGAACGAGGCAGAAGCTATGGGAAGGGGAAGAGGGTCGGAGGAAGAGGTGTGGGTGTCAGGGGAGTCAGTAGGTGAGGGTGCAGGCGAGGGGTGCAGGTGAGGGGTAAGGCGGTAGAGAGGGAGGTAAAGGTAGGTGCCATGAGATATGCATGCCGCGTCTGGGGAGGAAGGCGAGGACATGCATTCCTAGGACATCTCTCTCATTAGCTATTTCCTCTGAAGACTGTGATTCATGCAGGGAAAATGTTTTGTAATGATGGATATAGACAATGTTAATAATTAAACGCCAAAATGTACTGTTGTGTCGGTGGAATGGGGACGAGCGGCTGGGTAAGGAGGTGAGTGACCTGTTTGTATCGATTCGGGGGAAACTTTGGGTGATGGTGTGGATATTGGTTTACTGATCCGCGGTTTACTCATTAATGGTGGGGAAAGGGGCGGAGGCAGGGGAAGGGGCGGAGGCAGGGGAAAGGGCGGAGGCAGGGGAAGGGGCGGAGCAGGGGAAGGGGCGGAGGCAGGGGAAGGGGCGGAGGCAGGGGAAGGGGCGGAGGCAGGGGAAGGGGCTGGGAACCGGTATAAGGCTGTTCCGAGAAGGCGGAGGAAGTTTGGTTTATTTGGATGTGAAACGAATGGCGCGGTATTGATTGTCTCTCAATACGTGGGCATGTTCGTAGAGTGTATGTGTATGGATTGTGTATACGCACACACACACACACACCACACACACACACACACACACACACACACACACACACACACACACACACACACACACACACACACACACACACACACACACACACACCTACACTCACATTTACCCACACACAGACACGGGCCTTCACCCCCCCCCCAGACACGGAAGATGCCACAGAATATAAATTATAAAGCCACAGTAACTTACACCTTCCTCGTCGTCCCTGAAGTGATGTTTTATAATGAGATAATGAGGTGACGGGAAGCGGGAGCGGAGGGGGGGGGGTCGTCTTGGAAGGATTTAGACGTTTTGGAAGATAAGACGATGTAATGGTCTGGGTTTTCACGGAAAGGGGGATTCGGTCTGGGAAGAAAAGATTGGAAAAGTCGTCGAGAAAAATGTCTTCGTGTTTTGTTAACACTTAAACACTGAAGTTTCACGAAGGAGAGAAAAGCCTTCTGAAAATACGAATATAAAATAGCAGCTGAATTCTCCTGCCAATAAATTCCTTCTAAATGGGGCCAACTAAAACGACAGAATAAAGGAGCAGAATAAAGCAACGAAAGAGAAAAAAATAGTGACGAAAGCAATGCGGAAGTCAGAGGAGGTTTATGGCCTCTTGTCGCAGAGCCAGAATGGAGAGAGAGAGAGAGTAAGTAAAACTGGAGAGAGAAAAAAAAGAAGTAAACTAAAACACACGAAAGAGTAATCCTCACGAAATGAAATCCATCCTCACCCCGAGGAAACTTACCCTCTCTCTATAGGATTAAACTGGATTTCTTCGAGTGATTGAGGATTATGCAAAAAGAGGGGGGAGGGGGGGCGAGAGGGAGACTACACTATGTCTTTGGCGATTGCATGATAGCGTGCGCCGGCGACACTTCCCTTCCTCCGGGGTGCTGCTTACATGGGGGGGGGGGGGGCGAGGAAGGGGGAAGGGGGGGTGGGAGGAGGGGAAGGGGGAGGGGTGGCGAGGAGGGGGAGGGGAGGGGGGGGTTCCGCGGGGGGGGGGTAAGCGTACTGTCACGATGTGTGGCGATCGGGTTTTTGGTATCTGATGATTATTATGATTTTTGTTATCGATGTACCGAGGGGAGGGGAGAAAAGGAGAGGGAGAGGAAACGGTTTAGAATGCAAGCGCAAAGAGGGAGCGGGAAGGGAAACGGAAAGTGGAACGGGAACGTGAAAAGGAAAGGGAAGGAAAGGGAACGGAAGTGGAAGGTGGATCCATAAGCACATACACGCTCATCCTTTCTCTCTCTCTCTCTCTCTCTCTCTCTCTCTCTCTATATATATATATATATATATATATATATATATATATATATGTATTATATATCTGTGTGTGTGTGTGTGTGTGTGTGTGTGTGTGTGTGTGTGTGTGTGTGTGTGTGTGTGTATGTATGCATGTATGTATGTATGTATGTATGTATGAGAGAGAGAGAGAGAGAGAGAGAGAGAGAGAGAGAGAGAGAGAGAGAGAGAGAGAGAGAGAGAGAGAGAGAGAGAGAGAGAGAGATGAGGAAATAACGAGAGCGAGAGCGATTGACCGCATGGGAAAGGAAAGGGAAAGAGAGAATAAGGGAGAAGATAGACAGAGAAGGAAAGAATGGAAAATTACCAAGGTGGACAAAGCGTTACTCAGTATTAGCAGATAATTACACCCACTGTCGCAATAGATAATAGAGTAGATGACCTCCCCTGTCCACAAGACCTAACCTAACTAATCTATTAAGCATTTAACTACAGAGTAGGCCTTTGCTCCATTTATTGCGGTACACCCCTTCTCCCTGTGTACTAAGGTGTTGAATAATGAACGAGATGTAGAAACCTAAGAGTGTTAAGCCTACCTAAACCCAGCCTACACGATGGCCCCGGTATGGAGCTAGGTTAGTCCGCGTCGCCCCTTGTTTTGTGTACAAATAATTTGCTGTTTGTGCCAGATGTGGGGCTATCTAGGTCTTCCATCGATCGCACACTCCATTTGTGTCACTGGCTTTTTATTTTTGTTTTTATTTTTTGGTCAAACACTTCATTACAGGCGTTTCGATTTTGTCGCCACGTCGCCGCTCTGTCAGATGGCCTCGTTATGGCTTCTGTATGACATTTTTTTTCGCTTATGTAGCACACTTTCGGTCGTACACGCTTGCACGGAAGATAAATGAAAAGATATTGAGGTAGGAAGATAGATTGTTTTCTATTAAGAGGGTTAGAGAGAGAGGGGGAGGGTTGAGGGAGGAGGGAGGAAGGAGAGGGGGGTGAGGGAGGAAGGAAGGAGGTAAACGGGAAGGAGGGAAAGCAAGAGAGATAGATAGATTGATAGAGAGAAAGAGAGGCCGCAAACAGGCAGACAGGCAAGTGGGCAGACAGGCAGGCAGATAGGTAGTTAGGGAGGCAGGCAGATAGGTAGTTAGGGAGGCAGGCATGTGTGTAGTTAGGGAGGCAGGCAGGCATATAGTTAGGGAGGCAGGCAGGTATGTAGTTAGGGAGGCAGGCAGTTAGTTAGTTGGGTAGCTAGATAGGTAGAAAGACAGGGTAGGTAGTTAGACAGACAGACAGACAGAGACGGAGAGTTTGAAAGCGAGACAAGTAGAAAGAGAAAAGCAGAGAAGAGAAAGGGGATATAGGCAGGAGAAGATGAGCGAGAGGGGGCAGAGGGAATGTGCGTGCGTGTCGGCGCGTGACTCACAAGGGGGGCGCGTGTGTGCGTGTCCTTACTGTGGCGTGTCCATGTGTTTTCTTTGGTGTATACATGGGAATATATAGATTTTTGGGCCAGCCTCCGTTTATTATCTATGAATAAATCTTATAATAACTAGTGCAGGTTATTCTTGATTGTGTTTAGGGAGATACGACACTTGAGGTTAAACTAAGGCTTTGATTTCCGTGACTGAATCTGCTAGGCCTATATTTAACTAAATCTTGCTGTTTATAGAGTTTAAATTCATCCTTATTATTTTCATTTGTAACTTGCATATTCTTGATAAAAATAGTACCCTATTTATGTGTGTGTGTGTATGTGTGTGTGTGTGTGCGCGCGCGCGTGCGTGCGTGCGTGTGAGTGTGCGTGCGTACATGTGCATGGAAGCAGTAACAAGATTGTTTCTACACTTTGATGAATAATATTTTGCTGTCGTATTTAACAAATGCATGACTGACTTAAACCTTTTTCTTCACGCAGGTGCACAGACCTGCCTCTGGACCCTCCGACAGCAGCACCGCCAGGCCTTTAGGGATAACTCCTCTAAAGAAAATTGTGCGAGAAACAGCAACAAGAAGCCTACATGAGTCAAAACATCAAGAACGAAGGTGCTGACGAGACACGCCCGCCAAGTCTCTGATCGGAGCACCCTCACGCCCACGCCGAATCCACGCCCACGCCTCAGAATTCAATAGCAGAGTGCCAGCACGCCCGCCGCCATGACCGAGGTGATCCAGGGAGGGGTGGAGTACCCTGCCACGCCGCACTTTCAACCCCCGCCCGAGCTGCCGCCAGGTGAGCACGTGGTTCTTGCGCCGGGGGGCTTTAGGGGGCTGCAGAAAATTCAGGGGGCTTCAAAGGACTTCAGGGGGCTTCAGAGGTCTTCAGGTGGCTTTAGAGGTCTTCAGTGGGCTTCAGAGGTCTCCAGGGGGCTTCAGAGGACTTCAGAGGTCTCTAGGGGGCTTCAGACGTCTCCAGGGGGCTTCTGACGTCTCCAGGGGGCTTTAAAGGACTTCAGGGGGCTTCAGAGGACTTCATAGGTCTTCAGGGGACTTCAGAAGTTTTCAGTCGGCCTCAGAGGTCTTCAGGGGGCTTCAAGAGGCAGGTTCCTTCCTCATTAAGCTGATGTATTGGCTCTATTTTTTTTTTCCTTTCATACTCTATATTATCGGTTATGGCGCGGCAGTGATTATGATCTTTAATCTATGTGGATAAATTTTTGATTTGCTCTGTGGTTGCTGCTGCTTTGTGATAACGGTTCTATGATGCTAATTTCAAATCCACAGTGCTATGTTTTTACACCCTTTGAATAACTTAGATTGCCATTTGTTATTATTATTATTGTTGTTGTTGTTGCAATTTTTGTGTCATCAATATCAAGCACCATCATCATCATTATCATTATCCTCATCATTATCAGTCATCATCATTATCATTAGCATCACTACTATAATTATCATCATTATCATTAGCATCACTACTATAATTATCACCATTATTATCATCACTATCATCATTATAATTTTTCATCATTATTATCAGTATTATAATAATGTCTTCTTATCCGTTCCGCCTGTCGTCTCTCCCACTCTCAATTCCCTCTTTGCAACAATCCGCATTGCATTCTCGCCGAAATAGCTTTTGTCCTTTTTTGCGGCGTCGACCGTTGTCATGGCAACCCTCACACGCATTGAGCTATTTGCAGGTTAATTAGCGTTTTCTTACGCCAGGTGTTCATTATCTCATTAGCCTGTTTGTTGCACACTTTACTCCGGCAAACAGTTTTTTTTCTTCTTTTTCTCTTTTTTGTATCGCTTTTTGTTTCCTCCTGGAGTTACGTTGCCTTTTACGGTGTGGAGATTTTTTTTTTATTTTTTTTTTGCTATTCGAAGTCACGAGGTTCTGAGCGTCATTTTTTTAGTTCCTGTTGTTAGTGTTGTTTTGTGGTTAGAAACGCATATATTTTTGTTACTGTTGTAGGTATTGAGAGGGCTGGAAAAGAATTTCTTTTTGTTGCTCTTAATATTTTTGATGTTAAATGAAAATGTGTGTGTGTGTGTCGCAATATATATATATAAACTCATACTGAATATACATGTTCTTTGTATTTTTTACTGTCAGAAATATTAAGGCTATAAACTATTTTCGAGAATGCTATTATTAGAAGCCTTGACCATTTGTCATTTTTCGGAAGCCCAAACAGCTGTTGTTTCACTGACGTGTTGTTGACCTTTTGGTTGTCCGGAATTCATTGCCATAATTGAATCATCAGATGCCACGTAATTATGTCCTCCTGCAACATGATTATCACACGAGTCATTAAACATACTGCAGAGGGGCTATAATGCGCTGTGTTCTTATCGTAGGATGAAGTATGTTTGCATATATGTAGGATGGTTTATTGCTTTATTGATGTTCCTCTAAGCTTCTTTTTATTGAGGTCGCTACTCCTCCATATACACTAGTCGCCCATTGCTTGTGTCTTTACTGTGTTGCTGATACGTGTATGTGTGTGTATATATATATATATATATATATATATATATATATATATATATATATATATATATATATATATATATTTATAAATATATATATATACATATACAGTAATTTTGTGTGTGTGTGTGTATGTGTGTGTGTGTGTGTGTGTGTGTGTGTGTGTGTGTGTGTGTGTGTGTGTGTGGTGTGCGTGTGCGTGTGCGTGTGCGTGTGCGTGTGTGTGTGTGCGTGTGTGCGTGTGTGTGCGTGTGCGTGTGTGTGCGTGTGTGTGTACACACACACATACACACATACATACACATGTATATATACATATACATATGCATGTATTTATATACATATATATACTTATTTATTTATTTATAAATTTGTGTGTACGTGTCGAAATCGTTATTTATTCGACATTCTAAAGATGCTTTGGTTCTAATTACAAAGATGTATGGACGCCACTGAAAACGTTTGTTTACGTATAGTTGTCATTTTGAAGGCAAAATTTAGTGTTTTAACAAATAGAGTAAATTATATTAATCAATTATAAATCGATTGTTTGTTTAAAGGATAACAATTCAATGGCGGGAAGGCAATATGCAGAGATATAATCACCGTCTGGGCAGATGAGTCCTGGCTCCCGCACCATACACGGAGAGAAGACAAGGTTGGGAAAATTTGTGGTGAAAGCGACGCGCCATGATGCCTTGCTGTTAGGGAATATTTTAGTTATTTAGCTGTTTTTTGGGGGGGAAGGGAGGGAGGGAGGGAGGGGGCGTAGTCATAGGTGACAGTTCCGGTGATATAAAAAAAAAAAATAAGTTGACAGTGTGATTATTTATTAGAGTGTAGCGTAAGAGAGGAAAATTATGTTGAAAAGGGAGGGGAACGATTACCTTATGTGCAAATGAGATAGTAGAAGGGATGTGAGGGTCTCGATTCAGTCACATGTATATTTTTATTTTGCATATGCTTATGATTATTAATTTACAATTAGTGGGAGGGTAGAAAGTTAACCTTAGATATGAGTTAAGTTAGTGGAGAATATTGTGATACTTATTGCTAAGATTTACATTATGATATGCCACCTGTATATTATTATAATGTCTATAGAATTAAATGCTAATAGTTCAAAATGTTTCTATGCCCATTGTATATTTGGGGCACACCAAACAGAGGAATTAATTCAGTCCACCCCATGAGCCTTGAGACCGTTAAAGTCATGCTACCCAAGATGAAGATAAAGTTAGTAAAAAAAAGTTTTCTTTTTCTCGAGATTTTCTTTAAATTCAAATTCTAGAATGGTGGTGGCATTGCTGGAGATTGATAAGGTTGATTAAGTTTCATGGTTATGAAATAGAAATTTCGAAATGATAGTATGCTAATTAAGATTTTGAAAATTTCCCCGAGATTTAAAAAAAATCATTAAATTTAATAAGATTCTATTTTAATAATGAAGGCAAGAAAAATTTCCATCCGTTACATATTTATGCATTTGTGTGTGTGTGTGTGTGTGTGTGTTATGAGTTGTGTAATATTTATCATATGCTAAATATTGTGTATTTTATATTATATGCTATATGTATACATTTTCTTCTCGTGAACACCTTGTCTGAATCTTTTCTGGTGATTTAACTTATTCCCTAATTGAGGTTGGTTATTGATGTTTTATCCCCATTTAAAAGTCTTATCGTTGTTGTAGTTGTAATCATCGTCGTCGTTGTTTTTTGTTACTTATTAATCTTAATTGTTGTGCTGCTGGAAATTAGACTTCCCCATCTCATAAACAGTATTTCATCTCTATGATGATAATGATAATGGTAATCATCACCATCATCATTTTCTTCTTCATCATCTCCATCTTCATCAGTATCATTATTATTATCACCATTATCATTTTCTTCTTCATCTCCATCTCTTCATCTTTTTCATCATCATCATCATCATCATAACTGTCACAAATGCAGCTGCTATTACTTTTTTATGATTATTACCATGACCATAACCCTCACCATCGTCAGTGTTTTGTCTAAATCAATTGAAAACCGTAATCATCTGTATCACCATAACCACATTCACCACAACCATGCCATATCCCACACCATCACCACCATTTCCTTTCATATTTAGCTCTTCCTTCCTTCACAAAGAAAGTGACAAGGCGCATCACACACACGTACGGATAATGACTGGACTTACGCACGCTATTCACGGATTCCACGCAGCTCTCGGTGTCCTTTGCGCTCGGTTTTGCGTAATTTTCAACCCGGGGAGTTTAGGGGGAGTAACCTAACCGGCGGAGATCGATGCATAATTACTTTTAATCCGGGCAGATGACTGTGTGAAAGTATGCCTCGGGCTTTGTCTTGGTGAGATAGGGGAGACTTTTTTGATTTTTTATTATTTGTTTATTTTTGTTTTTGGTGTAATTTACATTTCGTTTTTTTTTATTTGTTTACTGGTATTGTCTGTTTGCTCCGCTAGTCATTCTTATTTGGGGCGTTGCGTTGAGACAGGGGAGACGTTTTTGTTATGTTATTTATTTATTTTTGTTTTGGTCTAATTTACATTTTTTTTCTATTTGTTTATTGTTATTGTCTGTTTTCTCCGTCAGTCATTCTTTTTTGGGGCGTTGCGTTGAGATAGGGGAGACTTTTTTGTTTAATTACTTATTTATTTTTGTTTTTGGTATGATTTACATCTTTTTTTCTATTTGTTTACTGTTATCATCTGTTTTCTCCGTTTCTCTGTTTGAGGCGTTGCGTGTCTCTCGTCCTTCTTTTTCTCACTCCTTGCGCTGTCTAACCTCACCCAGGCTCACCCCTTGACTCGTTCCGTTGCAACTCATGTTCGACCTATAATTTGGTACTTGCTTTTACTACCTCATCTTCAGCTAATATAGTTCTCGACCTGACCTTATGACCGCACTTTCCTCACACCCGTTGCCGTGATTCAACTCCGGGCGGCCTCCGCGTCCACCTTTCCCTCGCCTTAACGACCACTTCGATATTTCCGGGATAACTTCCAAGTTCAAATGATGGCCATGGTTGTTCTTGTATATGCACACGCACACGCACACGCACACGCACACGCACATGCACACGCATACGCACACGCACAACACACACACACACACACACACACACACACACACACACACACACACACACACACACACACACACACACATATATATATATATATATATATATATATATATATATATATATACAGTATATGCATATAAAAATATATATGAATAAATATATAATATATGTATGTATGTATGTATGTACATTAAGAAGAAGAGAAAAAAAATATATATATGTGTGTGTGTGTGTGTGTGTGTGTGTGTGTGTGTGTGTGTGTGTGTGTGTGGTGTGTGTGTGTGTGTGTGTGTGTGTGTGTTTGTGTGTGTAGAGGATATAGATAGAGAGAGAGAGAGAGAGAGAGAGAGAGAGAGAGAGATAAATCCAAATACCGACCGTATTGTCCTAGGTAAAGGGAAGGGTTCCGCTGCCGCACGCCCGTCCCGTCCCTCTTCCCGCGGCCCCATAGAGAGCCCTCCGCCGTAAGCCTGCCACGGCAAACTCGTCAGACCAGCAGAGCGAGTCCTAGCGCTCGCCCTCCCTCTCCACCTCCTCCATCTCTGCCCTTTCATTCTGCTGCTGCCTCACCTTCCACCCCCTTTCCACCGCACCCACTCCACTCGACTCCACCTGGCGGCACAGTAACCCTCCTGTCCCTCACGAGTTGCCAGAGAATCCCACCAGCTGACGAGACCTCTTGGACAGCCCTCGTTAAATCTCTCTCGTGCCGCACTTGCGAGTTGCCAAAGAGTCACATCAGCTGACGAGACCTCTTGGACAGCCCTCGTTAAGTCGCTCTTGTGCCGCACTTAGAGGTTGCCGAAGAGTCGCATCAGATGACAGGATTTGTAGGACGTCGTTAAGTCGCTCTTGTGCCGCACTTTCAATCCTTCGAGTCGGCGGCATCCTCCTCGGGGCCAAGGAGCTCGGAGGGTCGCCGGATCCAGTCCCGAGATCCTGGCCCGGTGAGTCATCGGGGGCCGCGCGGGGGCCGCCTGTTGACATCTTGCCAGAGCCGCCCACTGCCCCCTCCTCCTCCTCCTCCAGCGCCGCCTCCTATACTCGCCCACTGCTTCGCTGCCGTCTCTGCCACTGACGGCTGGTCTCTCCCGTCGGTGTCTGGGGCTGTCTGTCTGTCCGTCTGTTTGTCCTTGTCTCTCTCTCTCTGTTTCTCTCTCTTTCTCTCTGTTTCTTCTCCTCCTCTCCTCCTCTCCCCCTCCATTCCTCCTTCAACTCCCTTCCTCCTTCCCCTCCCCCTCCATTCCTCCTCCTCCCTTCCCTCCCTCCCCTCCTCCTTCCACCCTACCCCCTATTCACCCTACCCCTCTCCCTCCCCCTCTCCCACCTATTACCTCCCGCCTATCAACCTGCATACCGACATACCTACCTACTTAACAATCCCATTCTTCGCCGCTTATCTACTAATTTACCAACCTACCTACCCACGCATTTGCCTATCTACCTTTCGTCCACCTCGGGCCGACAGGGACATCTTTATATTCTCTACCACGACAGCCTCGCCATTCTACTCGAGCCCTTGTGTATCTCGGCGACATTTTCCGACGCGCGTTTGTCCTAGACTACTCCTATTCTAACAGCTTTTGACATGTTGGTCCGCCTTTCTCTCTGTTATTTCCTTGTTTATCTACCTGGAATATCAGTATTTTTTAATTTCATTCTTTCTTACATCTTCCTTCGGATTGTTTATGTAATATATAGGCCTTATTTTGTATATACAGACACCGTTATATCCCAAAATTTTCGAAAGAGGTTACAGTGTCATGGTTTATATTAGAAAAAAATGTATTTTTGTGATGGTTCGTGCCTTATCTAATGCAGTGAAAAGTTGTCTTGGCCGCACGCTATCCGGCAATCACGGCGCCGAGTTGTGTTGCCCCAAGACGTCGACTGTTGAGCACCTTTGTTGTGGGCGATGGGGTTGCGGCTTTGGGAATTTGTTATTCGCCGATTTCGGTCGACGTCCGGCATCGCCACCGTGTTGTGATTGTTATTGGTGTCTTTGTTGTACGACTAGTATATTGTTATGATTTGTTTAGCGTTAATACTAGTGTATTATTATGATTTGTTTTTTCATCGACACTGATATCATTATCATTATTATTATCACTGTCATCGTTATCACAGTTATCATGACCACCACCCTTATCTTTGTTGTCACTATCATTAGATTTATTATTTATCATGCAGTCTTGCAAGCGGCCGATGGTACAGTAGTCCCATTGTAAATACTAATCAAGCTGTCATTATAAATACCAATTAGCCTTAACATTATATTCATTTGCTTATCTCGACACGAATGCACGTACATCACAGTCCCGCACATAATTATTTTCGTTAATTGACCTGTGTTAATTGGTGACCCTTTAACCTCGTATTCCACGGTAAGGCGAGCACCACTATATCCGTGTTGTATTGCTAGTCTAACACCGTTCTTATTTCTTCTCTCGATCTGGACTCAAGATCTTGGCCGAGGAAAAAGTGAGTGTTATCAAAGGTATTTCGTGACAGCATGGTGTGCGTCGTATGTGAGGTAGTGTGCAGTCCGCATGTTTGAGTGCTGTTAGATTTTGATGTGCAGCTGGGTTATCTTGTGTGATATTTTAAGCTATGTGTGTTTATGGAAGAAAAAAAATGTGTTTATGTGATGGTATGTGGATCTTTTCTTCGTATACGTGTGTTTATGAATCTGTTTATATTTGTATTTTTTTTAGGGAATACTTGTCTTTGAAGGCACTTGCGTCTGATGCGCATTTGTGGTTTTTAAGTGTTGTGTACGGTTTTAAGAATGTTTCGTAGTCTACCTAATAAAAACGATGGTGTGACCCATTACTTTAGAGTACCAAAGTATTTATATTAGTATGTACAAAACCACCTGGTCTCTTCTTTTTCTCTCAAAATTTACATTTGTATGAGACTCTCCGTGTGCCCGGGAGACAGTAGTTAGTGTTATGAAATATGCGTATTTGATTCCCAACATGGCACCCTGCCCCTGCCCCTCCCGCCCCACTCACACCCCAGCACCTGCCGGCGTCCCCAGCATGCAGCACCACCAGCATCCACGCCCGGCACCGCGTCACCCGGCCTCCCGCCCCTGCCTCCCTCCGCCCCTCCGCCTCTGCGCCCTCCCTCTCTCTCTCTGCTTCCGAACACTCGCCCTCATCTGGACGCTCTCCACGGCCTTGCTCCTTCCAGCCGGCGACTCACACAGATACACGTACTTGAACTCCGCCATAAACACAATAACTCTCACCCGTCTTTCGTCACTTGCAGTATTTCGTGGTGGCTTTTCCCGAATCCTTTGTTAAATGCACAATGCTTTTTACGTATTTGCGCCCTTAGTATCACATTCGCAAGATGTATATATTCATTCCGTGTAGACACTGTTTTTTCTTCAGATGATGATATGCACTTCTATTAGTCATACCACAAAACACATTTCATTACAGCACGGTGAAATTAACGTTGTTACTATACACCTGGCCATAAAAGTTACAACACGCTCACCCACTTCCAATCTCCGTTGGCATACACAAAGGCACTATTGTTTTATTAAAGCAACTAAAAAGAGCCTTTTTTAAATATAGCTGGCTACCACCACGCTGCACGCCCCCCTTTTTCTACACATTGCAAAACATACCAAAAAAAATCAAATATTTCCTACACAGTATCCTTTTCCCGCAAAACAAAACCCCCAAACGAAGCCCCCCCTTTGACCTCAAGAACCCCTCCTGTTATCTCCCCAACAGAGTTCCCCGACGACGGTCCCTCGACGCTCCTGCCCTGCACCATCTGCAACCGCACCTTCAACCCGCAGGCCCTCGACCGCCACAGGAGGGTGTGCGAGAAGCTGTCCACCAAGAAGCGCAAAGTAAGCTTGGGGAGCGCGTTGTAGCGGCCGTGCTGGAGGGCTGGTGCACTTGGGTTGTTAAGTGGTGTTAAGAGATCGGGGTGATTTACGGTCCCTGGAATCGTCTAGAATTCATAAACTGGTTTCTAAATTATCTTTTCTAGTATTACGGACGTAGGTAATACTTTTTTGTTGTTGTTGTTTAGTAAAATTGGAAATAGATCGGGTGTCAAAATCAGTCGTTGTAAGTTTATGATTAGCTTTATTTTTTTTTTTTAGTTACCGTTTTCCTGATCTCCACCCTCTTCCTCCTCTCCCTCCCCCTCCTCCTTTTTCTTTCACCTCCTCCCACATCCTCTTCGTCCACCACGCCCTTCTCAGTCTACAGAATCTCCTTTTCTTTATTTCCATTTTGATCTATTCTTTCACATCCTATTCAGCTTCCTTCTTCTCCTCCTCCTATTCCTATTGTCTCCTCCTACTATTATTCCTCCATCTTCCTATTGTCTCCTACTCCTATTCTTCCTCCATCTTCCTATTGTCTCCTCCTCCTATTCTTCCTCCATCTTCCTCATCCCTCATCTTTTACGTCCATTTCCTTACATAAGAGAAGGAAGTCCCCCGGGAAATCCTCACGCCCTATTGTGATCAAAAGGAACAAGTTGGCGGGATTCCAACCGAGTGCAACACCAGGTCCCTAGCACCGCCTTGTCCATAACACGAGAATAACGCAAAAATAACACAGGAATAACATCACCCATTTCTAACGGACGTCGTAGAACTAATGATGACGTTCATGCCACCGGGTCTCCAGCATGCCGAGATGATCCTTGCAATGCTGTGCCCTTAGCAACATCGCATTACTCTAAATACTGACTTCATTGAAGCCTTGTCCTAGGCCTGGCCGAGCTCTCCGCGATAGAGGGCGTGTGGCGTGTCCTTTGCCTTGTTAAGAATCGCTCATGACTCGGAACTTCTCGGGAGATTGGACACGCCTGGTCTGGCATCCGACGCTCATTCTCGACCACACGTACCTATGCCTGTATGGGTGAGAGTGCACGCGCGCTCGCATGGGCATTCACAGATGTATAACGGACACACACAAACTCACACGCACACACCTACACCTAAATCCACACCTACACTCAAACCTACACCACACCACACCCACCCACACCCACACCCACCACACCTACACACCTACACCACACACACCCACACCCACACACACACACACACACACATTTACATACTTAAAGCTACTCACATCACTGGCACTGACCTCAATGTCTTATATGCATTATATATATCTGATTATCATCATTTTTGCCATCAGCCATCCTGTTTCACCTCCATTGCCATCTGCTTTCATTCTTGCCTTCAATAACAAACTAACCTTCTTTCTACTCTCTTCTACTTCGTTTATTCTGTTATTTTTTTCTCTTCGGTTTGACGAAATGTTTACGATTAACATGTACATAGCACGTAAGCAGGACAAAAAAATAAATAGCATGCCCGATAAAACTATTAGAATTAAAATCTTGAAGAGACGAGATGAAACGACAAGACGATATTATTATAGTTTTTTCCGCTCTCTCTTCTTCTCGTATTTTAACCAAAAAAACGAATGATCTTCCTTTCGTGTATCCATCTCCGCCACCCATGCTCATTCATCCCTGTTAAGATGGCACATGTATCGTTTTACTACACAAGACTTTTGACTCGACGAAGCAACGGGTAGAGGGCCTGGACGTGTCCCCGACCGCCGCGGGCCGAGGGAAGGGCGACAGCAAGAGCAGCCATCCGCCCAAGAACAAGTCCAAGTGGCGAGAGAAACACCAGGAGTTCCTGAGGGCCATCCGCGCAGCCAGAGGAGCCCCGAGTGAGTATGGCGGAGGGGGGTGGAGGGGGACCGGGAGGGAGGGAGAAGGGACAGTGCGTGCGTAAGTGTGATTAGTTTTTTAGTTTGTTTCTCGGTTTATTTATAGCTGTAATTGTTTTTTTTTTTTTCTTCTGGCTTAAGAATCATGTAAGCTTTACACCTTTTTTGGCTTTGAAATGCAGGCTATAGTTTGCGTGTTTGAACCTGTATTTTTTTTTTAACTTCTAGACTACCGGAGGTTTATGTTTCGACTATAACTCACGTCACAAGAAATGCAAATAACCGAACCTGATGTTGGGGATAATGCTGGCGGACTTATAAGCTACTATTTACGTTTAGCGAGTTTTCTGGCAAATGGAGTTATTTGCTTTTCTTGTAACGTAATGTATGTATTGTATGCATGTATTGTGTGTGTATGTTTCTATTTATTTACGTATATATTTGCATTGAAAAGAGAGAGAGAGAGAGAGAGAGAGAGAGAGAGAGAGAGAGAGAGAGAGAGAGAGAGAGAGAGAGAGAGAGAGAGAGAGAGAGAGAGAGAGAGAGAGAGAGAGAGAAAGAGAGTGTTCCGGAAATTTAGGAGACGTTTTGAAAAATGAATAAACATGATAACGATTACAGCTCGCATTTCAGAAGTTTCTCACTCTGAAATATTAGGGCACGACGACCTCTGCCGTCACTTGATAAAGCTAAGTGCCATCCTCCCGTTCAGACGACGGCGAGAATGGCCCCGGAGCTCCCGTGTCCACGATCCCCTCCGACTACGTCCGCTGCCCGCACTGCGAGCGGCACTTCGGCCCCAAGTCCGCCGACCGCCACATCAGCTGGTGCCGCGAGCAGAGCACGAGGCTGCCCCGCTCGCCGGCCAACAACGAAGCCGTGGAGCGCCTCAAGAACCGCACGAAGGTAAGTGATGTGTACGTCCGTTGGTCGATCCTGGGAAGTAATATCAAGGTCTCCTTTGTAGCTGGCACGGGACGCTGACCGTCGGGGAATTCACGCCGCGAGCTCCCTCCGCCGCCGCCGTCTAGACACGAGAGAGAAAAATCGAAAAATGTCTTGTTTTACCAACACGAAGTAAACGGGACATGTAAACACAGCGTTCATTGTTACCTGAATGCAAAATATATTCATATGAGACTTGAAACTGTTTATTACACGTAATTCAGGCAGTCTGGGTAATAATTGGGCGTGCGTTATTGCTCCTTGAATTCGTTCCCTTGACGTTGCCGCGCTCCCTGGAGTCTCTTGGGCGTGAGGCCGTCGAGTACATGGTTATGCTCTTTCCAGGAATTGCGAGACATGGCGCGGTGCCAGGCGTATTATGGTGCCAGTGACCGTGAAATATATTTACATCAATTACACGCGTCAGACCCATACGTTGCGGACCAGAGGTAAAGAATGCTCGGGGGGGGGGGGGGATCTCCGCGCCCCCGTGGACGTCTCGTGGGCGTGGAAGCCGCGGGCGCCCGACGCGTGAAAGGCGCATGCCGGCAGGGAGTCAGTGATGCCTCAGAGCTGATGTTTAGTATTATAGCAAGATTAATGATGATCGGGGAATACAATATGATTAAAGCAAGCTGCATAACAAATGTAAAATTCTGTTTGATTACCAACAAACTACATCATATCCATTCTGTGCGACTGTGAAATATCCGCAATGCAAACTTCCTTAAAGTATTATGAAAATTCACAGCAATTTCTGCCCCGTCAATAGAGATTAGTTTATTTGCCATTCTGCTGACAATATGCTTCATCCTGCAATTAGCGTTTGTGGAACATCAAATTGTAGTTTCGTTTGAAAGGACGAAAAAGGAATTAAAATTCCGCAACGTACAATAGAAAGCATGTCTAGTGCGTCAGCCATAACAGACATCAATAAAGGAATATCCGGCCCGCATGCATTCCATCTCCTGCGCCCCATTCTGCAACATTGCTAAGGCTTTCTCGCATCGTCATCATAGCCGAGCGACGTTGCATCACGGGGGCAGCGAGGTGCTTGAGCTGGTAGTGACCTTTCGTTTATAACACGGCGTGACCTGGCTGTTATGGAGCCGCGTCGTGACCGCCGCCGCCTTCTCACTGCTGTTGTTTCGCATGGATCGCACATCCCGTTGTACTTGTGCGTCTCTGTGCTGGCGCTTTACTATTCGCTGCATATTGTTCTCTGAGGTCGTCGCTGTGGTTGGATGTGTTGGTTCTTGTGTGTGTGTGATATGTGTGTGTGCTGTGTGTGGTGTCTCCGTAGTCTCGCGTGATGCACTGCGGAACTGTCTGTACCCTCTCTCTCCACTCCGTTCTCGATATATATCTCTCGTCTCTCTCTCTCTATCTATCTGCTGCAGATATATATATATATATATAGCCGACTTGTCGCTCTGACTCATGAGAACAGACGTCGTGTGATGCCTCCTCTGTGTTGTAATCTCTAGTACTTGGTCTATACGTACTATGTGTCTTCAGACATCGCACCTGTCGCATATACTCAATACATAAGATACGATCTCTGCTACTCCTCGCAAGTCGAAATAAGTGTAGGCTCCTCACTGGGGACTCAGGTGCTCACAAAGCATGGATAGGTCCGCTCGATTCTCGAGTAAGCCCTCGTACCTCGGTGCGCGAGTGGTCCAGCCGCCTGACGACTCTCCCGCAATTATGGAGGAACTCCTTTGTGTGCTCGCGTCTACACGTAGGTGCGGATATAAGGCTCAGTCAATTACTCATGTGTTATCGTCGCTCTTCCCTCCAATGGTAATATACATCGACAGCTATGCGTCAATCACTGGCACTGCGATTCTCTCTCTCTCTCTAGTGTCACGTGCATTGATCCCTCTAATATATACACAATAAGAGAGCTCGCTCTCTTAGTATACCGAGTAAAGTCTCAAATTGGTCGCTCCTCTCGCGCTCACCAGGCTTGGCACTTAGTGTTACAGATCTGAGAGCTAATCGTCAATGAATATACCGCCACAATCACTCTCTACTATTCCCTATGCACGTAGAGTGATGTACGAGTAGATTCATGGAGTGAGTGTATATAATTCTCTCCTCTCTCTCGCATCACCTCACCCTCTTTCTTCCTTGCGAGATTATTCTCGTGCCGTCACGGAATAAGAGATAGAGCGCAGTTGGTGTACCAGATCTCTCGTGAGTGTGATTCACGTCTGTCCTCGCCGCGAGCAGCTCTCTCAGCTCTCATCACTCTGGGATGCTATCCCGATAGTCCTGCTGCTCTACCCGTCTCCACAGCTCTCTTCTCTACTCCGCTTATATATCCGTCGCTTCCCTGGCTCGAGTGCGCTGCTAGAGGATCCTTGTGCCCTGTGGGCTGCGCTATCTCTCCGCTAACTCTCTGGGATATCATAAGTGAGTTTTTGCTCTCTCATATTGACACACTGGTCTGTGAACTCTCTCTCATACCTCGCGTCGCCTGTCCCGCGGGGCTGCGTACATATACGTTCTCATGTGAGATCTGTATCGCTCCATAGCGCTGTAGATCCTGACTGACCTTTGAATTCCGCTTTGCTTGCTTGCTGGACCTCAATGCCCTGACGGAACCTGCTCTCAGCGAGGAAGGAGCAGGTATCTGTGCACTCTCGACTCATAATGCGCTGCAGCTCCAGTCTAGTGTCATATACATACACATTGGATGTGCGCGTACGCAGTTGTCTAAGTTACTGAAGGGACTGCCTCTGGCCCCGGCGACCTACTGATTTTCACGGTGCGAATACGAGGTTGTGGTGCGGCTCGTCCCTCCTCGATCGCGCGGATGCTCTCATATACACATACAGAATATATATATGCATAATATTGGATCCCGAGTGCGATGGAGAAGAAACTCATCATTCCACTGTACCGACTCATACACATATAGAAACACAACTACGGTGGTGTAGATGTGCACGCGTACTATCATATATATCTATGTCAAACTAGCGCAATACTTTACTACTGCTGCGTGTGACTACTGCGCTTATATAATATATATTATATATATATATAAGCATACATATAATAATTATACATTACTTACTATTATAGATACTATATATATACTTAATATTATTACTTCTATATCATACTTATATATATACGCTTAGTACGACACACAATCGACACACGACACGATATGCATATTCTATATACTCCGTATATATATACTCATATTATATACTAATATTATATATATATTCCATATCATATATTCGATATGCTACACTCTCACTATATTCTATTATATATATATTAAATATTTAATATATTATATATATATGTATAGTATATGGTATCATATGTAATACTGGTATATATATGGTTGTACTCTATTATATACTATATATATATACTTACCTATTTATATGCTACTCTCATATGTATTAATTATACTATATTACATATTATACAGCCACATATCATACACATATATACACATATAACATACATAGTATATATATATAATATATACAATATATACTACTATAAATATATATATATATAATATATTACTATATGTATATAATATCATGTATATAATGTACTATGTTATTAATATGTACTGTATATATCATTAACGCATAACATACATCCATATCACACATATATTACGACACAACACACACCAACACACACACACACACACCACATTCTTAGTTATATATACGTAGCTTTAGATTTAACATAATAATATATCATATATGTATGTATGTATGTACTGTCATGTTTGAATGCCATGTTATGTGATGTCATGAATACTTATACGTATACTTATATACTCATAGATTAGATAGACTGAGGCATAGATTAGAGATAGAAGATATAGATATGCATAATAGCTATATATATCATGTACTAAATATATTATATAATATATCATATATATATATATTATAGTAGATTTAATATCGCATGACCACTAGAGCGCCTGAGCCGCGCCAGGATCCGCGCAGCAGCGGTGTGCTGTATGTTGTGGTTTATATCATGTGATGCTTGTATATATGTATACTGTGGTACTATTATAGTGTGATATCAGATCTTGTATATATACTGTAGTAGTGCTATATATTACATGTGTGCTTGTATTCATTATATAGTATATATATAGTATATATATATATATATAATATAATAATATCATATATATGTATACATATATATGTATATATATATATGTATATATATATATTATATATTCAATATGATTAATAATTATATGCACTTATATATGTATATATATTTGTTATGTTGTCTATATATACTCATACCACTAACTATCATTACTATATAATCACTTATAGTATATTGAGTATATATATAATCATATACAGTATATATTATAATTATATATACTATATATAATATATATATACTATAGCATGTATACACTATATATATATGATAGCCTTCATTATGATATTATCATAGCTCTACTATATATATACCTAGCGATCTCTCATACATTTATATATATACATATTATATAGATATTTATATATACTAATATTATATTCATAAACGTTATACATTGCATAATTCTACGCAAGCACTGAAAATCCAATCTCTTTACCCCCATCTGCATGCGAAAAGGCTCTCTTGTGACGGCAATATTACGACTCTCTCCCCACCTCTCCCCCGCTTCATCCGTGCCCGACGTCGTCCTCACGGCCTTAAGAATTAGGTCGCGCTTTCGTGACCAGTGACTTCGACTCTTCCTGACTGATCGAGAGTCTCCGGTCCTTCAGAGCTCCGCGTAACTGAAGAAGGGGGGCCACTGAACCTGCTCCTGGAATTCTCGCGTATCGCTATTTTATACCCCAGGTTGTGTTTGGAGCGGATTTTCGAAACGGGGAGATTTGTTTAAGAAACAGAAATTGGTAAAACATAAATATGTATAATTCGTTATTTATTGTGGATTATACGAGTAATGTGATGTTGCTAAAGGAACAGGAACAATTGGGGACGGCACGGAATGTTTATTCGTATTTATTTCTGTGTTGCTTTAG